TTTTATAAAAATCAATTAATTTCTTAAATTTGTGTTTTCCATTGTATTTTAAAATAAAAAAAATTATTAAATATATAATGACATATTTCTTTGCAGCCACTATTCTACAGAAGTTTGGTAACACAACTGATCTAAGCAAACCCGACAACTATATGAAGCGCTGGTTTAATACAAGTGCTCAGCGAGTGGTGTAAATGCATGCAAGAAAATACATGCTGCTGATGTTTTTATATTATATATGTATAACATATTTAACGTTTTTATTGTTAATTATAGTTATATACGAATTAATATATATCAAATATCGCAATAAACTTTACATATTTTACAGAATAATATGTTATATTTTCAATAATTCATAAATTTAATTATCATAAATAATAATAACAATTATCCTCCTAATACTATTATAGGCGTATCGCCTAATGGATTGTGTTCGACTTGGTTGAAAGTTATGAAACCAATTTTGTTAGAAAAATATATTTTATTTTTCTCGTCAGAGAATGAGAGTATATGTACAAGTTGTGTTTGAGTTAATTGATTGCGCCAGAGGCGCTTTCTCGGTAGAAGTGTAAGACCGAGAATTAAAAGAAAAATTGACGGGCGCGGTAAGAAATTACCGGCCGCGTCTTAGTATATTGAACGGGTCCTAAAAAGGACGGTTCAATTGAATCTGCTCATTGTAGCCCCTTTCCCGGTGTCGGTGGAACTCCGTTCGGGAAGTGGTCTTCCGTCTGACAACTGCTCTCTGAGCAGGCTCTCGGTGGCGAAGTCTGTACGGCCACGGAACGAGTCTCTGGTGTGCTGGTAACTGCAACCGTCTCGGCTCTCGATATTACGGATTGCTCCGTGTATCGAGGAGAGAGAGGCCTCCGAATTCGGATGTCGCCTGGTACAAGAGTGTCCCTTGGTGTCGAGTCAACCGGACGCAGAACTCTAGTGGAATTAATTTCCAAGCTAGAGACTGAGGAGGTGACGGCGAAACTGGAGTATCCGCGGGCCGCTTGGTTGAAATGTGCGGCCGATGCTGGGACTCTGTTTCCTTTACGTGCCTTGCGAGGCAGCGTGAGAAAAACTGCAAGACAATATGCCTCTGGTTAAATTCTGCTAAAGCAGAGTATGACTCAGATCAAGGGCCCTTGGAGAGAGCTCGCCTTGAAGCGAGTGAGTGAGGAAAGATCTGCGGAGCAGCTCTTTTATATCTCTTCGATCGAAGCTTGATCGCGAGAAAGCTCTTCACCGCCTGCGCAACCTGGCGGTGTCTCCGCAAGCTTATAACTGGTAGAAGGCCTGCGGCGCGTAGCGGCGTCGCGGCGTATTATGCCGCGTCAGTGCAGCGGTGTGGCGGTGAGCCGCCACAACTATAATAAAGGAAAATCCGTCATATTGCTAGGACGATTTTTTTATGTCAACAAACAGTCAAATTTTGTAACCAAAAATCATCATGTTGACTTTTTTTGCTGTGATGTAGTTTTGATGTCAAAATGATGTCATTTTGACTACAATGTGTTCCTTGGGAAGGAGCGTTTCCTCGCTTTACTCTCTTACAACCGAGACATTGAGTTGGTGGAACCATATTTATGGTGAAAGAAGACTGTTTAGATGAAATTAATAAGTTGAAACAGTATGGAACAGAGTGAAGAGATGGATGAATGTAGAGATGGAAAAGTGATGCGGAGATTTGAAAACAACGAGTCAAACTGTACAGTAGAGTACAGTATTGTAAGGCTGAGTACTGCAGAGCTCACACAGAATTGGTCACGGTAAAACATCGAAAACAAGTGACAATCTGAAAAACTTGATAAAACCAAACAAATACAGAAATAGAAAATGGGCACGTCTGCTATTGAAGACCTATTTGGGCTATTCGAAATTCTAACAGGACAACCGTTTACTACTGACAGCACGCACAACACATTTGGTGAGAATCGTTATCAGACAGAATGATTATTAATTTCATAATCAGAAACAGTTAAGTTTCCGATAAACGTGGCGCCATCTATCGAACTTGAAACTTTTGGAGTCTTTTGATATTTTTGAAAACCATTTTTTCTGGATCGGTAGAAGGCTATAACATAACACATATATTCGTAATCTGCTCAACGAGCACTTTCATCTCATGCCACTTTTAATCCCAAATTCGAATGGCACAAAATGGGAAACATTGTGTATGGACGTTTGGCCGCACTCTTTGAGCATTCAAATCCAGCTCGGGCTTAATTTCTTTTCCTTTGATTTTTTGCGTTAAATTTAGCCATTTAAATTTAAAAAATTGAAGAATACATTATAATAAATGTACACGGTGTTAAAAAATTACGTTCTATTTTGTAAACTTTTTTTATTAATAATTTTTTAATAAACAATAACCGATGGCTAAAATTTTTACAACATTACTTAGAGATCATTACTTAATGATCTTGTTAACGTATACGAAAATAATTAAAATTGAAGGTTAGTCCCGATCTTTTAATAATTACCAAAACGTGTTTGCAAATACGTAATATTTAAAAACTTTTTATAATTTTTAATTAATTATTTTTTAATATAGGCATACATATCTAGTATTTCTATTATCTAAACTTATCAGTAAAACAAAAATATTTCGTTTTTTTTATATATGAATCCATTTTAATTGAAGACAACTATATAGAACATTCTTTTATAATTTCTTTTTATATAACATTCTTTTATACAACATACCTCCTTTGAACGAAATTGCTGTGGTGCAGATAAATTATATCCATCATTATTCCCTAAATGATTGTAGCTGACAATTGATACTGGTTTGATACCAGCTGATACGAGGAAGTCCACGAGCACGGACTTGAGTTTAGTCTGGCCTGACTTAAAATCATCACCGCCGACGAACGTTTTTTGTCTCTCGGCAAGCTCAAGAGCGCCTGGGATGAAAGTATTCTGCGGTGAGCCATTGATATAAGTACACTAAAAAAAAATGTTTGAATAAATAAAATAACTCATTGGTTGCCATTTTGGTAATAAATTTAAACGAGAAAAGAATATAAATGTATGTGTAAGTGATATTGATAATAAAAGACAAAAATATTTATATTAAGTATAATCTTACTCCTTCTAAAGCTGCTGCCACAGCAAACATAGTACTTGGACTAATCTCTGAGTGATTCTTATCAATCGCCTCCAGAAGGTTGTCAGCCGTGTCATTGACGCCTGTTATGAACTCTGAGAATCTCTCCGTGTTAGCAGTCCACAAAACAATTACTTGATCCAAGCTTTTTGAAGCCTTGAACTGGACGATATCGTTGCGGATCCAATTGAGTTGCTCCGCCTTTGTGCCCGTGATAATGTTATTTGCTCTTTTGCCCTTTATAAACAAATTTTACCAATATTTATAAACTTTATTATTTTATAAAAAATCAAATTATTTAATCGATAAAAGACGGTTAATAGTATTAATTCATAGGATACTTCTACATAAGTTTATATGTACAATAATAATTATATTAGAGAAAATATATGTTAATACGAGAAAAATATTTATATTTGTATATTTATACAAGAATATATGTATATTATATAGAAATATAATTATATTTATATGTTAAAATTATACATGTTAGTATTTAAACTAATGCAAAATATCATATAATATAATATATACAATATAATATTAACATAAATAAAATAATATAAATAATATATTCCAATAACAAATTTAATTTTAATTTATTTGTAAATAATTTTAACTTATTTCAATTTTTAGTTTATTTAGTTTATTTTATCTCGGATTTTATGCATTATATACAGAGTGTCCCAGACTGTATCACCCATTAATGTCAGATTCTTGAGATTGATTCTTGAGATCATTTGCAGACGAAAATCCCAATACCAAAATGTCTGTCAAATGTCGAGGCTACAATAGTTTTTAAGTGGGAAGGGTTTAAAATTGACCAATCAGCTTATTAAAACTTTACGCGCTCAGGGACATCGCATATTGTAAGTGCCTTCAGAGATATTACTTTAATTTTTATCAATGTTGATATAATTTATATATTATTATTGAAATAACTTTAGAAACTTATCTTCTTTGTACGCAGTTAATAATTCCAACTAATATTGTGATAATAATAGCTTAAAGATTGTTTGGAATATTGACGTTAGAACGCAATTCGCATCGAACATCAAAGCTTTCACGTGAATCTTGTCATAGATAAATGATGTTTCTCATATGATAAGAATATATAAAAAATATGCGACGTGCCTGAGCGCACAAAGTTTTTACATGCTGATTGGTCAACTTTAAATCTTTCCTATTTAAAAACTATCGTATCCTCGACATTTTGATATTAAGATTTTTGTTTACAAATGATCTTAAGAATCTGTCATTAACGGGTGATACGATAGGTCTAGGAGCCTGTATACATATGTGAAAAAACTGTCAAATAGAAACGACTCCCAAATAATTTTGACCTTAATATATGTTATCAAGGTCATTGCTCTAAGTTACAAAAAAAGATTTTAGCCATCGATGATTGTTTATTAAAAAGTTATTAACAAAAGAAGTTTACTAAATAGAATACAATTTTCTAACACCATGTACATTTAACAGAACGTACTCTTAGCATATTTATTTATTTAAACGTAATAAAGTGAATGAGTGGACGGGAAAGTCTTTGCATTCCTTCCCCGAAAAAAAATCTACTTCAACCTAACTTACATCCGAGAAACAAAGCATTATTTGAAGTAAATAATTCCTTGATGTATACAAAATAGCAATTTTATTCAAAAATGTATTAATTTTCGAGGATCCAAAGCCAAAGCCAGATGTCGTTTGCTTATTAATATTATTTATTTTCTCTTAACTTGCATACGTTTTGGCCAACCTTTTGGCCATCATCAGTACAGAGGATTTCAAACTACTTTATGTTATGAGTTGTACTAAAAAAATTACACAAATCAGTCTATTTTATAACGGTAACCGAACTCTTCTAAGCATACCTTAATTAATTTCCTACACCTGAATTTATCGACTTTATTAACATTATTATTTGTTTTTTAAAAAAGTGGTCCATATCTAAAATTTAACACAATATAAACCTTCTGTCTTTTTTATTATGATATAATATTATCTATTTTTTTAAACATGAGATTGCAGAAATCGGATTCAAAATAAATGTTGATGTGTCTTGTAAGACTAATCACTGACGACTGTGTGTATTTATAGTGGTTGGATAAAAAGAAGACAGGAATTAAAGGGAAAAGGAATAAGAGAGGGAAACCGACGAATAAGAATTCGATAAAAATCAGTGTCGCTCTGTTTATTAAGTCCATGACTCTGTTTCTTAATGCGTAACACTTCAGATGTAAGACGCTTGTAATACGATTTCTCAACGTCGAGAATCTCAACTCCATTTCAGTCGAATGATGGTCTAATTTTAACCGATGACTAGAGATAACCGAGGGGAAAGAGCTCCTTTTTATATCATTTATTATCATTTTTATGCTTTTGGACTCTTGTTTCCAACTGACTTTTTGTCTGTCCTATGTATGTGGCATCACAATCTTTGCACAAAACTTATAAACTACATCGCTATGAGACATTGTATCAAGATCGTCTTTGTGAGGCCTAATGAATTTCCTTGTGTCATCTGCACAAGCAAAGGATAATTTGAATCCATATTGTTAAAAATACACATATATATGTGTATTTATTTCTTTCTCAAGTCTTATATGCAATTTTTATTTTCTTTTATACTTGGCGCTTCTGTTCATTTCTGAGTGCTGTTACGTGCCGCAACTTATAGTTTCTTAGATTACTCTGTTGTTCGAACCTTTTTTATCTTTACTCCTTCTTGACCCTAAACACGTGACCCTTCAATAACTGCAACAAACATGGGTTAACCTAAACACTGTCCCTGTGCCTAACGCGTATTTTCTCTTCGATAAAACCTCCTCCTTCCAATAAACATTCCGCCGCTACGATTTTCCTAAAACACTGTAAATGAAGATCCTTCTCGTCAGTTAGTTCTTGATCAAAGCTCAAACCAGCAACACTGAATAAAGACTTTTTTCACGTGTCCTGACTTATTCTAAATAATCTATTACGTAGCTATACGCTCGTAACAATTGGTGGCAGCGGTGGGATGTTTGTGTGTAAAAGTGCGAAAAATTTTTGTTGTAATTGAGCTGATTGCTGTTAGTTAATATCAAGTGAAAGAAAGTTAGAAACCCGGAATTAGAGGAGTTCGAGAAAACGTAGCCAAGCAAAGTTATCAAGTAGACGAATCGAGGTCAACCATAACTTGGTGCTATCTTGACGAAATTAACGGGAGCACATTCCGATCAACCTGCTGAGATCCTGTTTGTTAGCCGATAAAACCACGTTTAGTCTACAACCTACTCTGAGGAAAAAGGCACAAGGCCATCAAGACGCTCCTGGACGAGCACAGCAGCTAACGAAGGAAAAGGATAGCAACAATGAGATTCCGTGGACGGCCAGCACGAAAAAAGGTCAACCCTCATCATCATCTCATCTACGTCATCAAATCATCTATATCTACCAGCGGCGTGAAACCATCTCGTCATAGATATGCTGCGCATCGTACTTTTGTAAGTCTATGAATTTTGTAAACTTTAGAGACGCTAAAGCGCATTACAATACAGACAGTTCGGAAAGTAGTTCGTCGATAAGTTATATTAGCGATAATAATTCTAAACATAATCACGTAATCTCAAATTTAGAAACAATCAATATGAACGATCGAACAGAAACGGTAGAGTCAGCGCAAGGCGTAGATCATTTTGGCACGAATCTAGAAAGTCGAAGATCCTCTACGAGTAACAGTAGTTATTTTCCCGTCCGTAATAGTCTATCGCTCATACCTGTTTTTAATGGAAAAAATATTCCAGTGACGCAGTTTACAGCAGATTGTAAAGGAGTTAAGAGGATGCTGAAGTCATATTGTTACCGACCGAACTTCTAATTTTCTGGAAAGTATGGCATTTTTTATTGCTTTGATAGAATTACAAATTCTTTGGTGTAAGTAAAGTACACATGCTAATCTTTCGATGGTTAGTGAAATTTAAACCAAAAAATAAAAAAAATTTTTTTAAATTTACCGACAATGTCACTTCAAAGAATTATATCTTTTATATCAAAATTATACTGCTTCAATCTGCAAAACAAGGGTGTGTGCCGAAGAAGAGCGTATGAAACAATAACGGAAAACCAAAAAAATAGAGCTTAGAGACTTATTTTCAAAATGCCATACTTTTCCAGATTTATGCAAAGCATGCGTGCAATATAGAAGAATAAGGTAAAAAAGAGCTGTAGATTAGTTCCGGGATTTTGGGATAAAGGCGCTATACAGTTCTCAGTGCTATCTGTCATATACAGAATCTTTTAGGTTAGTTATGTATGTGTTAGTTGTGCGTGTGTGTGTGTGTTTGTGTTATGTGCTACGAAACCTGGCTGAAAAAAATGGGTTGAAGGCACTCTGAAGGATAAAAAAGTGTATGTATTATACATAAATTTTGCAACATTTTTGCAAACATTTATATTATTTAGTTACATACATTCATATTTTAATTTCTGTAAAATACTTTTATTCATGTGCTTTATGTGTATATATTATGTATATTATGTGCTCCATATTATGTATATTCACATCAAAGTATCTATGTAAAAAGTTAATATCATTTTGTATATTGTATATATTTTTATAATAAATGTACATGTCATATAACTTATTTATAAAGCATGAAATATAAAGGTATTTTTAGTTTCTTGTATGTATCATTTGTAAAAAAATCTTGATAAAAAAAACATTAATTTTGTGACTTGCAATAATCTGTTTCAATATATACTTCTTTTAAATACTTACAATTAGCCTTATTTTATGCGTTTACCTTAGTATCTAAAATACACATCAAAATATAAAATTAATTTCTAGTTCAGTAGAAAAAAAAACATTGTAGTCTTACACCAGAGAGGAATGGTAAAATATCATGTATATGTAATAACAAATAAATCACTTTTCCACTGACATTATACACAACTTTGCAGAAATAAATTTATTCTGTGAATTTTGAATGTGTAGTGCAGTTTAAAACACACAGTCGAAATATGTCTATATTTTTGAAATAATAGTTCTGATTTTTCATGAATCACAGTGGTTTTATAAAATGTTAAATTTTAACAGTTTTTATTGGACTGTACTTTAGACAATATTATATTTTGCCATTTCTCTCTGTTGTAAGACAAGAATGTTTCTTTTCTACTGTAATAGAAATACATTTTCGATTTTGATACGTATTTTAAATACCAAGTTAATCACATAAAATAAGGCTAATTGTAAGTATTTA